CCACCAGCGGCCGAGCAGTAAAGTTGCTGAACACTGGTAATTCGGTCCGAGGTTCGAATCCCGCGAACGGGCTGGCTGCATGGGCGTTTTCGTGGTTTTCCCCATGTGTAACATGTATACGAGCCAGTTTCCCTTAGAAAATCCTCCACAAAGGCATCCCTCCCTTAGGCAGATAGCCCTCGAGGCTTTGCCATAATTACACACACACACGGGCATTCACGTCTGTTCTAATCAGCGGCTCTCTGTCTCTAAGCAAGCAACTGCGTTGGCAGCAACCAAGCTTCTGTTATAAGTCATGCTGATTATTAATTTACTTCACAGTTTAACTTATGGCTGTTGACATAAATGCATATAACTCTGGACTGAGCGAATATGTAGCGGAATAGGGCATAAAAGAAAGAATCAATACAAAGCGTAAAATTTAAATAAAAAGCCACTAATCTTCATTAAAATATGTGGGACTATTATTAGTGTAAAATATTAATGTTTCGAGAAATTTTATAATTTAATGCTAATTAATTACTTGAAAATATTTGTAAAGTTAATTTTGTTCTTGAATTTTATTATAAAAGTTTACAAAGTTTTTAAGACAAAATGCAAAGTGAAGTTCGGGTGTAGATAATTGCTGTAGTTTATTCAGTTCCTATTTGCTTGATGGGTCCTTAATTTTTTCTTTGATGGGCCTTAAAATTACTCGATTTCCTCGTGCAGAAGTGTATACGAACTCTGTATGTATTGCGCGACCTTCTCAGCAATGTCTTCAAAGATTAAGTATCTTTCAATGGCATTCCCAAATTTGATATGAATAGAATATATATGCGATAAACTGGGATGGCTATAGATTAATAGCGCCGGCTGTTAGTGAACGCTTTAAGCATTCTATCCTTTAGAATAGTTTGCATTTCTGATTAGCAAGAAATGCAGTAATGAAGACTTAGGCATCTTAGTTCTTTTTGTAAAATACTGTATATGTAATGCAAATGAATTATATATGTGCGTCATCATTTATGTAACCATTATTTACTTCTAGATTAGTACTTCGTACCAAGCCGAAACGAAACTTTATTGTAGTTACAACAGCATGTTTGTTCGAAATACCGATAATTTAGTTGACCTTTTGCAAAATTTGGGTCAGATTCTTTTATAAAGTGCCGTAAATTTTTAGCTTAATTGATTCTATGCTTTTATCGCATACCGACTTATATAACTATCAGGGGAGAATTTATCTCTTACTAAATTGTAATCGTATTGCCATCATTTCTTAATAAAACTTTTTTTCTTCAACCTGGAATATGTTCATTTACAGATAGATCCTTTCAAATGATAAGTACATGTGGGGTTGGCAGTTGGCATGTCTAACTTCCTAAGCGGAAGGAAAGCTTTACGTATTTATTTACATAAAAAGTAAGGTCTAGTTACGTGCTATATATTGAAGCATCAAATAATTAAAAATATGAACAAAACAAACGCGGGCATAAGTAGCTGTGATGAAAAAGCGGTTCATTAACGTAGTTTCAATAGGCTTTGATTTATGATGGAAGAATTATGCAAACTTAAGTTCAAAATAATGCATTGAAAATATCCTAATTTTTAAGAAAAATGTTAAATCTAATTCTCTTCGCCCCCCCCCTCCAAAAAAATCAGACCACGTTATATTTTGTTGAATTAATATCGATTAATTACCTTTGTTATTGCTGTGCCGTATGGAGAAGTTTGAAATAGGAAGGAGGTACTTTATACATTTTTGAAGCCCAAGCCAGCGGCACCAACTCCACCCAGCAGTGTTGTTGAACTGATACAAAATGACCGTAAAATAAAATAATAAATGTAATAAAATTAATTCGTTGTAGTCTTGTTCACATGTTGGAGATCAACTGCACACAAAATAGAGAGAAAAAGTTGTGTATGACAGTTGTTGTTAACAGTAAAAGTTTGTAAACAGATAATTCAATGGGGAATTCTGGTGTGTCACTACGAGTGTACGACTATTATTGCTAGCTTAAGTGACTGCGTTTTGAATAATGTTTGCACTAGTTTCGATGTTGCATTTTTAGAATTCATTAAATACTGGACAACGCTTTTTAACTTAAAGATTATTTGTTTAATCAATTATGGCAAAGCACACGTAGGCTGTCTGTTTATTATTGAAAGAGCTCACGAGAATTTTCGTAATTCATTTAGAGGATAATCTATAATTTCCATCATACGCCAGAATGAATTCATATTTTATATTCCAACTAACAAGCTGTTATAAAAATGACATTAACATCACTTTGATTGAAATTTCATGACTACTCGTGTGTATTCTCGTTTCTATGCGTTGGTACTTTAGTTAAAGCACCCTATTTTGAAAACATAGCAAATGTTACTGTTACGAATTTCAATATACTGGTAACTGTCAGTAGCTATAGGCCAGGAGTAAATTACGGATACCGTTATAAGAATGTTTAAATCTGATGTAGAGAAACTATTGCCGAGTCTGTTTAAATCTGGTAGTGGGAGGAACTATTGCTGTTTTTTTTTTTTTTTTTTCCCCTCCCTAAGAATCTGTTTATGACATTATAACGTAAGCATTTTGCATTTGAAATGCTGCTGTTTTATATTTGTATGCATTTTCAGAATTTGCACTTAAAAGAAACTTGGTTAATTGATTGTGGCCAAGCACGCAAGGGTATAGTGTTTTAATGGAGAACTCCTTTAAGGATAGTTCGTAATTCATTATCCATCCCTCTCGTCTTGGCCTAGTCTGGGTGCATGTTGGAGTAAGAGTGAGATCAGTGTGGCATTAGGCATTCCGTGTAGTACTAGTGGGCAGCATTTGCCACTGATCCCTGGGAACCGTGAGTGGTGATCCCGTGCTCTGGGGTATAGCAGTGGTTTTAGAGAAATTTTATGAGCCTGCCGTTCGGATATTGGAGGCCCCGGGGCTTTAACATAATCCACACTTGACCACTATCCTGTTGAGGAACTTTGAATGATGTGCACAGTCACTGCCTGATATGGGGGTATCTCAGTTGGGATCCAGTCCGTATAGTATCAAACAGACGAAGCACGTTTAACAATTATATGGTCATGAAGAAAACTCTATGTAGCCCGGTCGTTTTCCGAAAAATAAACTTTTTTTTCCTCTGCTGTTTGGCCACTTAAGGAGGAAGACCCCGATTCTGTAACGAATCGAATAACCGTACGCTTGAAAGTCGCTCAAATATGAATTGTTTGGGAATGAGAATGGGAGAATAAAAAAAGTAAGAATAACTCTGCGATGATATTAAATAATAAATAGATGATATTAAATAAAAAATTAAACGAACGTGGTTCAGTTATTTTGTAGTTTTATTTTACAATATAACTGAAACTTTGCGCAACAATGGGCAGTAAAGTTAGCAAAATAAGTCATAAAAAGTAATAAAAAAAACTTCCCTGTAGACAATGTTTCAGGTAAATTGATGAGCTGAATGCGTCAACGTCGCACACATCCCCCCTCTTCGCCTTTTCTAATACAAGATAAATGAACGATTAGTACTTTTTCTGTAAACAAGTCCTTACGTTCATCAAGACTTCGATACTAATTTCATTGCATTTTAAAGAACTGTTGCATCGTATTTGATGCAATTGTTCTTTGAAATGCCCTGAAGTTATTATTACTTATTTTAAAAAATCGGAAATACAAACATTATGCAGGGCCTGATTTAAGGACAAACGAAGCCTGTGTGTTCTGAATCGCATCGTTAAAGGAATCTCCAAATTTTTCTTTATTGTTTAAATTGCGTAGAATTTTTGATATTTTTTTTATATTTAAGTTTTAAAGATGTAGGATTAGAGCAGGAACAAAATTTTTAATTTCGTATTTTAGTTCTGTGCTTCTTTGTTCAAAAAATAAAACATTGCCTTCACTCTCGTTGGCAACTGATATTATGCGGCGAATACTTGTAAATCAACGCTGACTTGACCAGCCGACCTGTCTATTGTGTGATTACATTTGAACCTCATGATGTTACGTTCATTAGAGTCCTTTGATAACTGTAGGCGTTATTTGATTATTAAATTGATAAACGATTTAATTGGGTTATTTTGGTTTTATCTATGAAATTTAATTATAGTTTGTAATTATGTTCTTCCCTTTCTCTCATTTTTTTCCCAGAGCAACTCTAATTAAAATGTGCATCAGCTTATATTTTACTCAATATATAATAAACTAAAGATCTGAATACAAAAACATATAGAAAGGCAATCCAGTTTTTATTTAAATACCTTTAAATAAAAAATAACTGTATTATTAAGATTTTTTTTTTTTTTAATTCGTATCGATGATACCTATTACAATGAAAAGAATTAGAGGAGAGGTTGCATAAGAGGCTTTACTCGGCTGTGCAGTTTTGTACATCGAATAACGCTACTGTATTTTACTGCTGAAAATAAAATCTTCGAGAAATAGAACCGCCTTATTTTTCAAGACGTGCTAAATTATTTTGCTGTTGAAAATTAATTAGGTTATTTATTATTATTATTTATTTTTAGTAAACGCTCTGTGACCTAATATTTGTCGAATTTATAGGAATTTCGGTAACAGCGGTATGATTTCTAGAAGTTTGGATTCTCTCATGCATGCTTGTAGTTTCCGGAAAACTTAAAAGTTTATGAAATGCTTAACTTATCCGGTCAAATCCGAATAAATCTGTGTTTTATCTTAGGAACTGATTTATTTTGTATTATTTGTTTGTTTGTTTTTTCGGGAGGATGTGCATAGTTTAGGCTTGGAGACTGCGACTGCAAAATGGGGTTAGTGTCCTAAATGAAATTCTGCCCGCAGCGCAGTTTCTTTTTCCCTTCTGTTGTTTAATTCACTTCCCTCCCCTTATCGTGCAGAGTTTTTTATCCATCCAAAAGTCGACGATCTTTCTCTCTTGGTGTTTTATGCTAATAGAAACGATTTCGGAAAGTAGGTCGAACAACTTGTTCTTGTGTTTCTAATTTTTGCAAATTTTGACTTCGTCTCAAAACCCGTTTGATACGCAGCATTGGCGTCTTGCGTGAGATGCCCCGGTCATCAAATTAATTTGATTTCAGTTATAGTTACAGTTATTATTAATGCAAAGTCTGAATGTGAAAGCAGATTTCACATGCGATTGAAGAAAAATACGATTCTTTCGTTATGTTAAATTTTTATCCGCACTATTGAGTAAATCATTTTAAATTTTATTACTTCTAAAGGTAAGTTCCGTTATTATCACACTTCTTATTTACTTCATAGTTTTCTGTGAGATTGTTATTAATATTAAGGGAATTATTTGTCAAAGCTGTATATATTTTTGTTTAATATATGTGTGCATATAATTTAGTAGTATTTTTTAATACAGTTGATCAACCACATTTAATTCTTTTTTATCTCGAGATATTTTTATTAAATAACTTATATACAAACGTCACTCTTAAATTTGAGTTTTTTGTAATTCTTTAATTAATTTTGCCTGATCTGTTTACAGTATTCTAAAGTTATTAACATTATTATTATTAACAGTTCTAAAGTTCATTTTCGAAGTGGATTATCATCTTTGAAAAAAAAATTTTCTCCATACATATAGTTGTTACCGTAGGGCTTCGTGAATTTTTAATGTTAAAAATTTTTCATACTAAAAATTATAATTTATTAAGCGATTTCTAGTACTAAAAACTTTTCGGTACTTCCTTATTATAGGCACCCCTTGAATCGCTAATCAACCGAGATATCTCGCTACTACCAGTGCTTCTATTTACTCCAGTGCTTGAACCATAATTGGAATGTCTCCTTGGAATTCTTTTAATTGGAGGGTGTCTAACATCATCTATGATTCTGCTGAGTATCATCTTCAGAATCGATGTTTCAGGACTTAAACTACAACTGATTACCACCTAGAATCACAATGTCCAGGCCTTGGGTGACTGAGGTATTGCTGCACTTAGCTTCCACCCCATTTTATAATTCCGAGAAAGAACACCCCGGGAAACAATTCGAAGGTCTCACACTCTACTTTCCCTACTACCAACCTCTCGAGAGGATTCGGCTCGCCGTTTGTTTTGAGTGCATTCTTGCCGCACAGGCACTATACCAGGGCTCGTACGGTCCTTAAGATTCCTTAAAAGTCGTAAGTTTTTTGGAATCGATTTTTGGTCCTTAAAAGTCCTTAATTTCATCCAAAATCGTAAGAAGGTCCTTAATTTTAATCATCAGAAATTTCTGTCTGTTTTTATGACTGCCATTTTGAGTGTGAATTAACATTTTAGAGTAATATTTTTGGCGATTTGCTGACAAATGTGGTTATCTTTTAAATGGGTTCATGGATTACAGTTTGTTCTTATTTTTAATAATAAAAGGTGGGATTCACGAGTTTCTGAGCAGGAAGTGAAACATGAGCATTTCAAAATTATTTTTCTAATGAAAGGCTCTTATTAACTTTTCGCTTTTGAGGATGTGATTTCTTTTATTAAACCCTTCTAAATTTGGAGACTTATCAAAATTTTGGTGATTTTAAGATCTGTTTCTATAGAAAATTTTTAATTCCGAGATCTAGGATATTTTAGAACATTGTAACATTGATAAATTTCATTTAAATAATGGTAATATTTTTTAATTATATTTATGAAATAAGATTAAAATAAAGCATTTTTATTTCTTGCTGTGATATTATTAAGTTCCATTTCAGTCATTTATTATATGTGGAAAATAAGCAAGGTATAATACTATAAAGCACCATTTATGTAACAGTTCTTTGCAGAAGCAAACTAACTATGTAATTAATTAAAAATGTATTTTTAATATTTTCATGGTAAGGGTTTTTCTCATGTAATTGTCTCAGAATATTCAGAATTCTCAAAATATACATCAGTTTTCTCCAGAGCTTAAATTGCGCCCGAGGCCTGCTCCGGCGCAGTTTAAGCTCTGGAAGAACAATGAAAACGTTATAGTTGAATGTTTTACTTCTGATAGTAGAATCTTTTTCTTAACATTTTAATCTTCCCTTTATTTTCTCTACTTTTCACTAGACACAAACATAGAAAATATTAAAAAAATGCTTCTAATCTTATCATATGGACAGGCATTATAGAAAAGAATTCTTTTATTAATAAAGATATTGAGAACTGAAAATTTAAAACATTCATCTAATATGTTTTAATGCATGACACACAGGATTGGCACTAGGCATTTTCCCGTCTGATGCAGTCTCTGAGGATCGTAAATTCTGGCCTGGTGCCTTTCTAAATTCTGCTTTCAATGCCTGTTCTAAATTCTAAACGTTTTGCCATTTCTAGACTTTATTGCTCAGTGTGTCACTAAATTTTAAAAATTATGCCACATCAGCTCTCTAACCGAAGCTTACCATATATATTTTAAATTTCTTCTGAATGTTCATATTACTAAAGAAATAAAATTAGCAGCTTTTTCTATACATTCTAAATGCATTTAGTTTATCTAGAATATCAGAAATCTTTAATTAAATCTAAAATTTCTAAAATGAAGAGGAAACGTGGAAGAAAGAAACTGAATACATAAAGAAAAACAAATTTATTCTTCAAAGATATGTACAGCTATTATTATGTAAATTACCCAGTTGTTTACAATTTCAGTCCCTTCACTACAATTTCCCATTTCTATTTTTTTTCACCAGAAAGCAAATGACCACTTAGACAGTTTTTAAACGAGATTAGGTTTTTGGAGTGTGAGACAAGAGTGTGTTTCTGATCTTCACTTGCTCACTGCATTAGTTACTGCCAGCTCTGAATAATTTGTAATTATTCATCTTTGCTTTACCACGTTGGCTGACATTTCAATTTTGTTATGACAATAGAATTACTGAGTCAGCCTTAAAATGAAATTAAATTGTATAGTCCTTTGACCACTAATCCATATTTTTAGTTTGAATTTGACTCTTCTTGTTTTCGTTACATCACTACGAGCTGTAATTGATTTTGTTAGCATAAGAATTTTTTTAAATTTTATTTTATTTTATTTTATTTTTATTTTTTTATTTTTTTATTTTTTTATTTATTTTTTTTTTTTTAAGAATCTTATTTAAACCTTTGTCGGACATTGTACTTACTTTCAGACATAGCGATAATTTGCTTCATATCTGTTGATTTGTTTTGGACTATTTAGCTTTTACCAGATCAAATAAACCTTCGTAAGTACATTGTGGACAGGTTGACAGGTTAGGAGATAAAACGTGCAGAAATTAGTGAGAACGTCCTTTTGTGTATTGAGACAAATTCCTAATTGTTAAAAAAGGTGCTTAAAGAGAAGAAAATCGATATAAATTAGCCAAAATGTTTGGGAAGGCTTCAAATTAAAAAGACGCATAAATATTTACTGAGTTTTGTTACTACAAAACATAAATGTCTTATCTGTAGTTATCCGAATATCGTGTAAGAATCAATGTCATAAATTACATGTATTTTAAACTGTGAAATTTTATTAAGATTGGGATTTTAATAGGGCTAAAAATAAATAAAATTTAATAGTGACCATGTAAATCCATAATGACTAAGATTATCTTATACCTAATTTAATTACCTATAACTGCTTACTGCTTTCCTTTACGTATTATCTCTGCATATTAAAGCGAGTTATTGCCTTTCATTAAGCCTTACCGTAGTCACAAGTTAAAACACTAAAAATGTTAAAATTCTTGTAAAACTTATTCTTCGCATCTAGTGAGACTTAAAATAATGCAAAATAACTTATCACCTCTGGTCCTTTAGTGGCTTATTAGAACCTTAAAGTATATTAACTGAGTCACAACCCCCTGCAGGTAAGCGTCTTTTATTGTTCATCATGCTGATTATGATTTTACTTCTCATTTTAACTTATGCCGCTTGCCATAAAATCTGCTTACTATTTACTAAAGCTCTAGAGTTTAGACTGAGCAAGTATGAGACAAAATGAGGTATAAAATCAAATCAACATAAAACTGTTAGTAAAACTTAAATAAAATGTCACTTATCTCCTTTCAAATATGTTCAGCTCTTATAAGTGTAAAATATATAATGCTCCTTGATAAATTTCATATATTTTATTCTCAGACTTAATAATAATTATGTTAATTAAGTTATGTTTAATAATAATGCATCCTACTTATGGATCTATTTTATTTTTAGGATGTATTACAAAAGTGAAGTTCAGGCATAGATAATATTTTTAATTGAATTTCAGTTCACATTCGCTCATAGGTCCTTAATTTGTTTCATTAATGATCCTTAAAAGTACTTAATTTCCATGCGCAGAAATGTGTATGAACCCTGTATATCAGTGCTCCGCAACCGGTGTGCCATGAGTAGGATATAGGTGTGCCGCAATCAAATACATGTATTTGACATTTTGCAATTTTTTATCATGTATTTAATACACAATGACAAGTTTTTTCCTTAATAATGTCTATTTTAAATGTTTTTATATATTTCACTGTTGTATGGTTGTGTGTGTGATTCTAAGTGTGTCAGCATTTGAATTTTTTTGCCACTTCCTTGATAACTCGGAACTCTTTGGTGTGCCACGAAATTCCAGAAAAATTTTTTGTGCGTCGCAGGTGAGAAAAGGTTGCGGAGCACTGCTGTATATGTTTACAAATATTCATATTTTTCTGGTATTCGAACCCTGACCATTTGGAAAGGCAGTAAGTGTTGCTAACTGCTATCCTGACTGATGGTTAAAAGGGCCGTAGACACAGAGCTCTTTCAGGAGCTTCCGGTGTGTGTCGTTCTTGTTTTCTTGAGATAACAAAATACGTTTTAAGGAGTTACAGGATGGTTTGAGCCTGCTTAGTTAATCTTAGCAGTTAATCTGCTTAGTTAATGCTTAGTTAGTTCTTGCTTAGTTAATCTGCTTAGTTAATAAACTCAAGCTTTAGTTAATCATAAGACACCGATTCTGTAAAGGACATTCATCAGAATTGCAGAGGATGCTAGGCATGTATCAGTTAAGTCTTTCTAGTGTGACTTATAATAACTGTAAAGATTATAATTATATTAAAAAATAACTGTAAAGATTCCAGTCATGATTCAAGCACTGTATAGGTGCAGAAGACTAATTTGAATGGAAGAAGGAACAGTGATAATGAGGTAGTTCCCAGTTTTTTCCGGTGTAATACATGTTTGTAATTTTATTTATTTTTTAATTTTATTTTTTCCCCATCATGCTTTTTATAATCCTTGATTATTCATAGTACACATGCAGAAGTGTACCGTAAATTTTAATAAAGAACCTGCTACTTAGCATCGATTTACCAAAATTATGTTAATAAAGGGAAGTTAGCCTTATATGTATTCGGAAGTTGATTGTAGTATTTGCATATTAATATTATTAAATACTGCTTAGCTAATGAAATGCATATAATAAAAATACAGAATGCACCAGCTTTTGTTAAATGGAAATCTTTCCAGTTCAGTTTCACAGACAGTTTACATCAGAGACTTTTATTTGTTAAGAAAATTTGTATTCTCATATGTATATAAATATATGTATGAGTTTATTGAGAAAATTTTTATTTGTTTTTTGCATATACCATCGTATATAATTAGTTGATAAATTACAGATGTTTGCAAAATTAGTAAATCAATCTTGATCTTCACTCTTAAATACAGATACTTGCAAAATTAGTAAATCAATCTTAATCTTCACTGCTCGTTGGTGTTTATATAAGGTATACATTCGTGTATAAGTTTGTATTGTATCTCAAGGAGAAAAGAGGTCATTAAACTGAAATAATTTGCAAAACTAAGTTGCAATTTATTTTACAAGATTTTAGAAATTTTTTGCAAAATAGAAGAAGGATTTCCCTCCTCCCCATTCAGACTTTCAAAACCAGAGTATTCTCATATTTTCCTGACTGTTCACTAATTTCTCATTTATTTGTATGCATTCCGTTTGGAAAAAGTCCTTTTTTTTTTCTTGTGTATTTGGCTAAATGTGCTTTTTGATTGCAACAAACTAAGAACTCCTTATTTCCTTTTTATGACATTCATACGAATGTTTGAACTGCAGTTAACAGGATCATTCTCAGTAATAAGAAATAATCATTCTAGACTTTGCGATGAGCTTTACTTAACTTTATCCATTTTTGATACCAGGAAACTGATCAAGACCTCTGAATGGGAGCTCTTGTTTTGAAAAAAAGATATATAATTTATCAAAAGATTTTTTTTTATTTATTTATGTAACTGCCTTTTTATAAGGTATTACAGATATATTCATTTGGTTGATCTTTATCTTTTCATGATCTTTCACAACTTGTACTATTACAGCCAAGGTGATTCTTAAAATTGGAAATATGAGAGCTGTGTGGAAGGCCATCAGAGACGGTAAACAAAAATAAATGATTAAATAAAAAATTTATAAATCAATTATGTGGGGAAATTTAATTAAGTAGGCAAATTAAATTTTAATAATTAATAAAAAAAATTAATAAAATAAAAAATAAGTGAATAATTAGTATCATCTGTAGTTTCAGTTAATTTACCAAATGCAAGATAGGTAAATTAATAGAAACAACACATGATACTAAGATAACATGATACTAAGGATAAAAGAATGGTAAGTATTTTGATCAAGTACTCTGCATTCATATAAAATTTCATCTTTGTTTTGGCTTTTAATCTATTTTGAAGCCACTCTTCGATCAGATAAGTAATGCCCATAAAAATTCCTCTTTCTGATCAGATTGTATTTGACATGGAGGATTTGTTTTTCTGAGCTACGCAAGTTTTGCACTGTGATCTTCCCAGGAAATGTGAGCAGAAGTTAAGTAAACCAATCTAATGTACAGTATTGTGCAGACTCACCTATGTCACCTTCATTCTAAAATAATGATAAATAGTGCTGAATTCACTGGTAAGTAAGCAACAGATACATTCAATCTGTTAATTACAGATGGACAACACTTGTCCAGTCTGAGATGTTGCAGAAAAGAAGAAATTTCCTTTATCTGTATAAATTATTTCATTAACTGAGGCTGTATACTCGGAATTACATTGTACAATTTGTAGAAAAGAAGAAAGTCAACAGCACACAGCTCTTTAAATTTGATTCTAAATAAAAATCCTTTTTAAAAGTTTGACATACTGTGTAGGTAGGCATTGCATGCTCTAAGACAGGGGTTCTTAATCCCGTACCCGCGAAGCTATTTTTGTTTGCCCGTGACTGTCCGCTATATACAGTCAACAGTCGTTAATTCGGACACTCATAATCCGGAATGATCTATAATCCGGACGTCAAAGCTACAAACATTACGGCAACCTTTACGGCTGCGAATATGCGTGTGCGCATGCGCATAATACGTTTACGCATGCGCGTTTAATGTATAACGGACGGTATAAGCTAAACTAAAATTATCTAATTCAGTTAATGTTGCAGATTGCGTTGTTCCTTAATCTTCGAATTGGATCCGGCTTATTATTTTTGCAGACTGTTAGAGCAATTTTATAAAAAGTAAGCTTGAACTTTCGATTATGTCAAATATAATTTCCGATATATATTTACTAATATGTAAAGGATCTACAAAGCGAAAGTATGTTTCGATGTCCATCAAACAAAAAGTGGAATTGCTGCAAAAAATGGATAAAAGCATATCCTTCGTTTTTCTAACCATTCCGAAATCTGTTAATCAATTTCACGCTGCTCTGCGGCGGGAGAGGGGAGGAACGCCGCGGCGCGCAATGAATTGGAAGTTGATCTGTCAGCACTATCCTCATCTTCAGGGCAGATGTTTTTATTTTATTTGGCTTATAATTCCTTACTAAATGTAGTATTTCATCTCGATGTACTCCGTCTTTCATATGATTTAAATCAAATTCCTCGTCATTATAATTCGCTTCCGATAGTGAAGAAAGTGACACAGAGGTTATTGAAAACGAAAACATTTCGATTGACAAATTAGTCGGTATTCTCGACTCAGCAATTATAGGACTTGAACAGCGGAACTTTGTAACTGAAGAAGAAATTATGTCTGTTTATAGAATTAAAGAGAAAGTATTATCACATGAAACGAAGCAACTTAAACAACTTACATTGAAAGAAATGTTTAATAAAGTAAACAAATAAATATTAAGTTTTTTTTTTTTTTTTTTTTTTTTTTTGTGTGTGTAAATTTTGATAATCTTTAGATCATAATTGTTCTTTATTTCATAAATTACGGTTTCATATTTTTAATTTTGTAATTTTTCTGCATGCCATCTTACCAGATTTAAACTGATGAACTATAATCCGGAAAAATCGATAATCCGGAATCGCCGAAGTCCCGACGAGTCCGGATTAACGACTTTTGACTGTACTGTATGCAATGCGAAAAATCCCATTAAATGCAACTATTTTGAATTTTTTGTTACCTTTTCAATGTAGGGTATAGTTTATTATGCTTATGATTGCAATAAAATAAAGAAATATTAAGAATCGTTATACTTCTCTCTCCCCTTTTTTTTTTTTTTTTTTTTTTTTTTTTTTTTTTCTCCCCTGCCCATCAGCATTTTCTGTTTGTCAGATGTGCCCAGACAGGAAATAAGGTTAAAACCCCTGCTCTAAGATAACATGGAGTAATTGTCATGCCTTCACCATTTTCTTCCCTTATGTCCAGGCTTCTACAAGAAATTTTACAAGTTTTGAGTGGGTTATTAACTAAAATTACCGTAAAGATTTGTATCTGTTGCATTCATCTGCATCTCAGTCAAATTCCGAAATTTGTCTTCTAGTTAAAAATTTTAAGTTGTTTTCTACGTTTCAGAAATTGTGGAGACGAAGAAAGGACTGCAGGATGACCTGATTGACGGATGGACCGGTGTCAAGAGCTTCAGGCTAGATCTTCCCGAGCCCTCTCCTCTACCTCGAGAAGTCAGAGGGGTATGTACACAGTCCTTTCATTCTTTAGAAGACTAAATTCACTTGACTTAGCTTAGGATGGTGATTTTCTGGATGTAGCAAATTAAGAAATAGATAATGGACACATTTGCTTTACAGAATTATAAAATTTAATTCCCTATTATTATTTGTTTATTTTTTATGGAAAAACATGCATCAACTAAGGAAATATTTAAATTGTCCATGATTGCTTGTTATCAGAAAAAAAAAAAATGTGTGCCCTGGCACCATCTTCTTTTTCTGCATGTATATTGTCTTGGTTATCAACTGTGTAATAATTGATTCTTTCAGGAACTGGAACTAGTAACAACAGAAGTGGCCCTTGGTGGAAAGCCTGGATGAAAAAATATGTGATCTCTTCCCTTGTGTGTGGAGGCTTGTCTGTGTTCCATGGCATTGTTTTCATCATCATTTATCTTTTACTTCGTTCCTACACTTCCTCCCTGCAGTTGTTTGAAACAATACCAACTTATGTACCAGGAGTGGTGGTAAGTTTACACTCTTTTAGAGTATTAAAAATAGTTGTCTTAACGATAAGAGTATTTATTAATTATATTGAAAGACACTATGCTGCATGAAAATGCCAATATTGTAGGAAATTGTAATAAGGCGACTTTAATCTCTATTTAATATTGCACTTTGTTTTCCCAAAGAGATTAAAATGCAAAGTGTTTATCTACTATGATCATAACTTTTTCATTTTTCAGTTTATTCTTACTGGCCTTATTTTGATGTGCTTTGCAAAAAGGAGGAATAGATATGCATTTTTGGTAAGAAACTTTATACTTGTCATGTTGTAGAATAAAACTGAAACTCTTTCTTAGGTATTCATATTGAAATTCTGTGTGATTTAGGCAACTGAAGATTTGTTCATTTTTCTAGTCATATCCTCTCAAATAATATGGTACTTTCTCATTCTCACGAGCCCCATCTTAATGGTGCCAAGAATATCGCTGTGTTCATCTTTACGTTTCACATACAGTATCTGAGTGTCATGTTTCTGCAGTATGGTATCAAAAGCATTTTCTCGCAATCAGGACATTCAAATCATGTATCCTGCAAAATACTGATGAAGATGATGGTGACCTGTTTTATGTGAACAACTGTTTTCAGATCTACAAAATGAAATTTATGATTCACAATGAAGTGAGCAGTACTTTTTCCAGTTCTGTTTTGTATGCTCATTAACAATCTGAATAAATTATCCATCACTCTTGTATGCTGTCAGGAGTGTGGTTTCCTCTTTATTTGAACTTCATTCCGCAAGAAAGCGTTTGCCAGTTTTTCACAACCCTGTTGGGATGTTTTATCAGGTGGGCGAACAGATTTTTTCTATTCTCACAATTTTTCCATGGCCAATGTATCTGTTTATTTAGTTGGATTAAATGTAAAGAACACAGATCTCTAATAAAACTTTCCTAGTTAACTCAAATTTTCCAAAAAATATTACTCTTATTTCTCACTTAATCAGTATCAATTTCTTTGTCCAATAGTAAATACATTATAGTGCTGTTGGTTACAAATAGTATTCTGCAGCCACTAAACCAGTTATTGGAGCATATGTTTTTCTGTTAATTACAACTTTTTGCATTGCACCTCTAAATGCTTTTATTTATAAAAGGTGTACCAGAAATTTTGTCTGATAATGTTATTTTATTATTCAATTGTGCTGTTTAAATTAACTGAAAGTGTCTCGCATCATTATTGAGATGCAATCGTGTAAACATGGCTACTGATAAAGTTCATTTACGACATTTTATTTTGTATGAATTCCAACAAGGAAGAAATGCTACAGAAACTTATTAAAATTTAGTGAAAG